GCTGCGGTGCGGAGGGTCCCAAAGCAGCAGCAGCAGCTACTGTTCGCTCGTAACCACCGGCGCTGCGGTTTCGCTGATACCTAAGAGCGAGGGGGCGGGGCCGAGCTGTCCTCAGCCAGGTACCTGCGCTCCGCCCCCGCGAGGGCGGGCGTTGGGGCTCGAACGCTGCGGGGGGGGGCACGTGACGCGAGAGGCAGCGGCAGCTGCTCTGCCGCGCGCTCTTCCTCCTGCTTCCCCAGGCAGGCTCCTGGCTTGAGGCTCTAGTGCGCCTCGGCGCTGCAGCTGCGTGCTGAGTCCCAACCGCCGCCACGCGGAGCGGCACCGGGCACCGGCCTCGGTCTACACTAGGGCCTCGCCCCGGAAGAGCAGCGTAGTGTAGAGTGGTGCTGCGACTGAGTGAGTCACCGGGCTAGTGAGTGAGTGGGCGGCAGCCCAAGGGAAATACCCTTGTCCCAGGACAGAAGCCTGGGGGAGGTGTGGTGAAAGCTGCTTTTCCCGTGTGTCTCAAGGGTCCCTTGGTGCCAGCTGGCGTGGAGCACCCCAGGACATCAGGTTTACAGTGGTACCCTGGGCCTGGCGTCTATTGGTCCACCAAAGAATGTTAGTAAGGTCGCTAATGAAAGCTTATGTCTGACTGATAAATCCTTGCCCATAAAGAAATACCTGAGGAGTTTGTGCTTTAAGTCTCAGAAAGGTAACCTGCATTGCATAAGAATGGCCATAGGGGATCAAACCAAAGGTCCAGCTAGCCCACTATCTTGTCTCTCAACAGTGGCCAAAGCCAGATGACCCAGATGGAATGAACAGTACAGTTAATCATCAAGTGATCCCTCTCCTATCACCCATTTCCAGTTTCTGACAGAGGCTAGGGAGACCAATCCTATCCATCCTGGTTAGCAAATATTGATGGACCTAACCTTCATGAATTTATCTAGTTCTTTTTTTAGCCCTGTTACAGTACTGGTTTTCACAATCTCCTGTGGCAAGGAGTTCCACAGGTTACCTGTGTTGCATGAAGAAATACTTCCTTTTGTTTGTTTTAAATCTGCTACTTCTTAATTTCATTTGGTGACCCCTAATTCTTATGGGAACAAGTAAATAACTTTTTATTGTTCATTTTCTCCATACCAATTATCAGAGCTTACCAAACAGCGGTGAGCCCTGCTTGCCAGCCACGCTGTCCGGCAATCTGCGCATGCACAGATCGCCCGAACCCGGCTCTTCTGGGTTGTAATCTACTCACTACAGGCGAGTAGATTGTATTATTTGTCGAGCCCTGCCAATTATGATTTTATAGACCTTTATTATAGCCCTCTTTAGTCTCTACTTTCCTAAAATGAAAAATTCCAATCTGTATGGAGTAATCTAGATGTGGGTGTAGCATGCATTTGCACAGGCAGTAAAATATTCTGTTTCTTTTTTTAATGATTCCTAACATTCTGTTTGTTTTTTTGATTGCTGCTGCACATTGAAGGGATGTTTTCAGAGAACTATCCACAATGACTATGTTTTCAGAGAACTATCCAACATCTCTCTCGTGAGGGGTAATAGCTAAATTAGTCCCCATCATTTTGTATGTGTAGCTGGGATTATTTTTTCCATGTACTTTACTTTGCATTTATCAACATTAAAATTCATTTGCCATTGTTTTGCCCAATCACTTAGTTTGGTGAGTTCTTTTTGAAGCTCTTCACAGTCTACTTTGGTCTTAACTATCTTGAGCAGTTTGGTATCATCTGCAGATTTTGCCACCTCATTGTTTACCCCTTTCTCCAGGTCATTTATAAATATGTTGAATAGGATTGTTCCCAATATGGACCCTTGGGGGAGTTACCTCTCTCCATTCTGAAAACTGACCATTTATTCCTACCCTGTGTTTCCTGTCTTTTAACCAGTTATTAGTCCATGAGAGGACCTTCCCTCTTATCCCATGACAACTTTACTTTACTTTAGTTTAGAGCTTTTGGTGAGGGACCTTGCCAAAGGCTTTGTGGAAATCTAAGTACACTATATTCATGGGATCCCCTTTGTCCACATGTTTGTTGGCCCCCTCAAAGAACTCCAGTAGATTAGTAAGGCATGATTTCCCTTTACAGAATCCATGCTGACTTTTCTCCAACAAATTATGTTCATCTGTGTGTCTGCCAATTCTATTCTTTGCTACAGTTTCAACTAATGTGCCCAGTATTGACATTACACTTACTGGTCTGTAATTGCCAGGAGCACCTCAAGAGTCTTTTTAAAATATTAGTGTTACATTAGTTATCTTCCAGTCATTAGGTACAGAAGCTGATTTAAAGCATAGGTTACAAACCACAGTTAATAGTTCCATAATTTCATATTTGAGTTCTTTCAGAACTCTTGGATGAATGCCATCTGGTCCTGATGACTTGTCACTGTTAAATTTATCAGTTTGTTCCCAAACCTCCTCTAATGACACTTCAATCTGGGACGATTTCTCAAATTTGTCACCTAAAAAGAATGGAGGAATGGTTCATGTTTGGGAATCTCCCTAACATCCTCAGTCATGAAGACCGAAGTAAAGAGTTTATTTAGTTTCTCTTCATGGTCTTATTGTCTTTAAGTGCTCCTTTAGCATCTCAGTTGTCCAATGGTGACCTCACTGGTTGTTTAGCAGGCTTCCTGCTTCTGATGTACCTAAAAGCATTTTGTTATCACTGTTTGAGGTTTTGACTAGCTGTTCTTCAGTAGTGAAAATACACATCTCTCAGTGGGGAGATGCGCAAACTAAGTGTTAGGGTTCACAATGAAAAATCACAATCTGAGCTAAATTCAATTAATTGACTAATCAAATAGTCGATGCAATTTGCATCAATTATTTGATTAGTCGATAAGGGCGCATTCGCCTTTCAAGTATACCAACAGCCCCAGGGCTGTAGCTACACTTCAAAGAAGAAAACATTGTGGGCTTGGGGCCAGCGAGGTACCCAAGCAGTCACCCACTGGCTTCGTGCAACTGCAGCGTTTCAAAGTGGCAGCACCACATTGAGCCCCAGGTCAGCTGTAACTCAGTGTACACACATACAGGCAGTCCCCAACTTACGTGGATCCGACTTATGTTGGATCCGCACTTACGAACGGGGCTTTCTCGCCCCGGAAGTCGGGGCGAGAAAGCCCCGTTCGTAAGCTGCTCCGGTGCCCCTGGTCTGCTG